GGGCTGAGTCACAGCTAGTGGGACAGTGAGGGGCTGGGAGTTTCCCATCTCTGGCACCACATGGAAAGGGTCTCCGGGGAGCAGAGTAGCAGAGGGGAAGCCAGAAGGTGCGGGTCCTGACCGGAGGCTGTATCCTGTACCCAACCTTGGGCTCCCTGACACGAGAGCCAACATATTTTCTTTTTTGTGTACCTGGGTGTAAGAGGGCCAGTCCAGTGGCTCAGCCCCTACAGGCCTGGCAGTCTGACTGCCACGCCCTGCACAGTGTACGGGCACCCCAGCCCCGGTCACTGCAAAACACGACCTTGCCTCTGCCAAGCTGCCAGGGCCCCGGAGACAAGAGACTGCTTTAAGAAGTAACAGAGGAGCTCCCCAGACGGAGCCAGAAATGCAAAACAATTCCCATCCAAATGCCAATATGCTTTTTCAATGCATTTGGCAAGCCGATTCTAATACTTTCAGAGCAGAGCAAAGATCCACAAAGAGGGAGCATGTGCTTGAAGAAGAAAAAGGTTAGGAGCACATCCTGTCAGGTGTCAAGACTTAAGTTACAGCTACCATGAGTAAGACGTTTTAGAAGCCACGGACAGACACACAGACCGGTGGAATGAGGAAGAAAGCCAAGAAACAGACCAGCACATCCACAAAAAGCTGAAGGATGACAGAGTGACACTGCTGACCAGCCAAGAAAGGAGTCTTCCTTTGGCCACTGGAGGAGGGACAACTGGTTACCCCACAGAGGAAAAAAGAACCTCATCCACATCTCACTACACACAAAAACCAACTCCAGAAGGATTATAAACTAAAGAGAAGCAACACCTAAAACCTTTAGAAGAAAATATGAAAGAATATTTTTATGACCCCTAGGTAGGAAAGGAGTTCTTTGAAGAGATACAAAAAGTGCTAACCATTAGGAAAAAAAAAAGAGAGAGAGATACTACATTCAAATTAAGAGTATCAGTTTACCAAACATCACCACTGTTAGATTGGAAAGACAAGCCAGAAACAGGGGGAGGTATTTGCATTTAAGTGTAACATACAGAAGATACACAAATTGTAGTAAAATGGACAAAAGATACAAACGGAGCATTTAACAGGACGGGAAGAGGCCAGCACCAGGGAAGATGCCCGACTCTCTAGTTCTGAGGGAAAGGCAGAGTGAGGCCACCAAGAGTCCGTGCTACACTCACCAAGGCTCTCAGTGCAGAACTGTCAGGTGACATGGTCTACAGGGGACAGAGGGAGAGGCTAAATGACACCACCAGGAGGCAATCAGTGGAGAAAGTGGGTGTCCCATGTGTGCTTTCCGAGTGGTGGTGGGCTCCTAGTGTTTGCTTTATTATGCTGTCCACTGCAGTAGGCCTGGGGCACATGCAACTATTTAAATGTAAAAAAAAATTCAGCAAAATTTAGAAATCAGTTCTTCACACGGAGCCACACTTTGAGGGCTCCACAGCCTCAGCTGTGGAACTTTCCATCATACACAATTCCCCTGGGCAGCAGTGCTTTCACCTTATGTGTATATCACATGTTAATTTAGATGCAGCAAATACTATATAATAAAACATTCTTAAATGATGAACTGCATTGCATTTCTGTTTTCCAGTTGTAGGGAACAAATTCAAATAAAACAGTCATGAGAAACAGTCATGAGAAAAGATCGGTGCTTTATAATACTTGCTCCCCTTCCGCCACTAAATAACCCCACTGAATCAAGCAGCGTCTAAAGCTCGGCCTGTTCTGTCACCCGCGGGGAGGGGGGGCTTGGCGGGATGCGGGGCGGGGCACTCACCAGGCTCTGCTCTATGAGCAGGCAGAAGAGGATGGCGTTGCCTACCTCCCGTAGGTTCTGGAAGCACACCGTCTTCAGCTCTGCATATTCAACAATGTCCTTTAACTGGTGGTGGAAGAACTCCAGGATGCCTGTGGTGGCACAGAATGAGTGTGGGGCTGGGGGTGGCTGGAGGGGAGGGAGCCCCACAGGGAGCAGCCTGGGGTTCACAGCCGGGAGCACTGAGCATTCTCCCACTGCCATCGTGCCCACAGGGACATGGCCGCACATCTCCTGACCCCAGCACCTTCCCTGCACTCGTGGTTTGTCCACCACCTGAGCGCCGGGCATCAGCTCCAAAGCCTCTTTCTCTGTCAACCCTGTCCAGGCATGGCTTGTTTTACTGTGCTTCGCAGATACTGTTTTTTTACAAATTGGAAATCTGTGGCAGCCCTGTGTCAAGCAAGTCTATAGGTGCCGTTTTCCCAACAGTGTCTCCTCACTTCATGTCTCTGTGTCACATTTTGGTAATTCTTGAAATATTTGAACGTTTTCATTATTATTGTAGTTGTTACGATGATCTGGGATCAGTGATCTTTGATGTTACTATTGCAAAAAGATCACAACTTGCTAAAGGCTCAGACGATGGTTAGCATTTTTTAGCAATGAAGTGTTTTTAATTAAGATATGTATGTTTCATAAGGCATGGTGTCATTGCACACTTAATAGACTACGGTATAGCATAAACATAACTTTATATGCACCAGGAAATTAAAAAAATTCACGTGGCTTGCTTTATGGCAATATTCACTTGATTGCAGTTATCTGGAACCAAACCTGCAATATCTCCAAGGTCTGCCTGTATCTTCAGAGGAGGCATCACGTCGCAATAAATGAGAAAGACCATACTGTCATCTCCAGCAGAGGTAGGAAAGGTATTTGGTAAAATTCAGTATCCCTTCACAGGCACAGAAGGGAATGTACTTAGCTTGATAAAGGACATCTACAAAAACCCTGTAGCTAGCTAGTGTCACACTCAGTGGTGAATCTGCACACCTTCTCCCAGAGCTCCAGAGCAAGACAACACATCTTCACCACTGTCCTGGAGGCCCTGGATGTTGTAATAAGGCAGGAAAAGGCACAAGGCATAAAGTCTGGAAAGAACTCAGTCTATCCATTCAATGCTGATACAGTCAAAAATCCCCAAGCTGACTCCAGAATTTATAGTCTCGCAGAAGACCTAGAACAGCCACAACAACCGTGAGGAGAACAAACTCAGAAACTTAAATGACTTCAAACCCCTCATTCCGAGAGGTCAGGCCCTGAATGCCGTTCAGCATGGACCCCACAGCCTTGCCTGCCTGAGAGGCCATCCTTTCCTCTCTGCGGTCCACCCCGAAACGGGCACGAGAGAGCAGGGGTGCTCCCAGCAGCATGGCACTAACCACACGGTGGTGCCAGGCCAGCTGGGCGAGGACGTTCAGAGAGCAGCCCTGAAGTCCACAGCTCTGCCCCAGACCATCTTTAGATTTGGCCTAAATGGCTTGTCTTTGACATTTAAAATATCCACCTTTAAAATATCCACCTCTAGTCAGGATCCGAGCAACAGTTTTATTACCCCAATGTTACCCATCTGTTTTCTGAGATCCTCCGAAGCCAGGCCAGACCAACAGTTATGTCCCTTCCCAGGGGCCAAATGGGTCATCTCACTGTCTCCTTAAACACCAATAGCCCTGGGCGGTGCCAGAGACATCTGGAGGCTCAGCCACACCAGCCGACTACCCATCAGAACAGTCTCTCATGGGTGACCCACGTGTGGGCCCAAGTCACTTAATAAGATAGTTGTCCAGCTTTTAAGAAAGTAGTAACGGGGCTTCCCTGATGGCGCAGTGGCTGAGAGTCCGCCTGCCGATGTGGGGGACACAGGTTCGTGCCCCGGTCCGAGAGGATCCCACATGCCGTGGAGCGGCTGGGCCCGTGAGCCATGGCCGCTGAGCCTGCGCGTCCGGAGCCTGTGCTCCGCAACGGGAGAGGCCACAGCAGTGAGAGGCCCGCGTACCACAAAAAAAGAGAAAGAAAGTAGTAACGAATATGAGACAAAAGGCAGTTTTGTTAAGAGATAAGGGTTCCTGTAGTCCAATTTTATCACAAACGATGCTTTCTGAGGTCACAAAGGCTGTTCACATGGAGAGCCCCAAATCCGCTCTGGTCAGGCCATGTAGGTCTGTCTGGCACCCCAAACGGCACATCTGCCCGAGGGCCCTACGGTCAGCCCGCCAATGAGACAGGCTCTCAGTTAGAGGGAGGCTGCCAGGCAGAAAGACAGATGGGCTGCGCTGTCAGGGGAAGCAGCACCCCTGCGTGGGGCTGCCTCTGAGGCCTCTGGGCAGTTGGACCTGGCAGTGGAGCTCCCTGCCCCTCCCTGGTCAGCGATCTTCAAGATCCTGGTGTTGTAGGAGAGCCAAGGTGCACAGGGTTCACAGCCCTCACTCCCCACCCAGCATTCCCACCCCAAACGGCAACTCCTACACACCCTCCTGCACACGTGCTCCTTGGTTGAAAGGCTGGCTGGTTTTTTCTGCTGGAAACAATCAGGCTCTGGTTGGGCTCCCCACCTCCTCCCACCCGGGGAAGGCAGATCCGATCCTTATCAGTAATTTCTGACTTGATTTCCCTTACTGGGGCTTATGGCTGACACTGTCCCTCCCTGTGCACCCCAGGGAGACACTGTGCTCACCAGGGGAGCCGTACTCGTGCCGCGGCAGCCGGCAGACCTTGGGCATCACCTCCATCAGCGTCTTCACGTACTGTAGGATTGTGCCTTGCAGCTGTGAGAGATGGGCTGTGTCAGCCACCAGCCACACCACCACGCAGGCTGTGGGTGTGACGGGCACTTCTGAAAAGGAGTCTGTTAATCAAATGCACGGTAACGACCCAGGACTTTGGCTGGAGAGGAAATCTCACACGTGGAGACTGATGTGAGAGATGGAATGGAAAGCCCCTCCCCACACAGGAATTGTGTGCAGAATCCTTCCCACCACCACCACCCCCCGCTCCGGGAAGGAAGCCCACCGAGGGAAACATACCAGGCTCTTGACCACTTTCAGCAGCTCTTCCATGACCACTGCGATGCCCTGGTAGCCGAGCAGCCGGCAGATGACCTGGAAGTGTGGAGGCCCCACAAAGTTCCGGTAGCTGCCGTAGATGCTTGAGTAGGCCAGGTTCAAAGCCTGGGGACAGAGAAGGCCAGGACTTGATGGAAGTTGCCAGGGTTTTCAACGTAGCCCCACGCACAGGTGAAGATGAAGAATCCATTCGTAAAGTGCATTAGCACACAGCGCTCTCAGGTGGAGGCATCCAGAGACCCTGTTGGACTGCCCTTTATTGGGATAATCTATGTTTCCAACTTGAAGACATAAAAACAAGCTTGCTAAAACAGAAGGAAGAATACAAAACCATTTGGTTCTTCAACATTTATTAAACTGCCAGTCCTACAGAAGACATTCTGAGGTCCTGGAATGAGAAATGAATGTATCTCAGAGCCGCACTGCTGCCCCCATGTTACTGCTCCCAGTCTCCTGAGGGAGACACCAAGGACAGACTCTGATGAGGCAGTGGGGTATGCAGGGAGTGGGGGACAGCAGCCTCTGCAGGGGGGGCAGGCGAGAAAGGTAGTCAGGGTGGTTTCTTGTCAGATGGGACCTCCAAGCTTGTCTAAGGACACAGACGTCTGCACACCTAATCAGGGAGACTCCCAATGTACGCATTCAGTGCTACGTGTTTCCCTTTCAGCACTTCTTTAGCTGCACCCCGTAAATTTTGATATATTTGCATTTCATTTAGGTCAATGTCTTTTTAAAAACTTTCCCTTGAGACTTCCCCTTGCCCTAAGGATCATTTGAAATGTGTTAATTTCTGATTTTCTTGTCATCTCTTTGTTACTGATTTCTAGCTTGAGATCACTGTGGTCAGATAACACACTCTATAATATATCAGTTCTTTGAATTTCGTTGATGTTGTTTTATGGCCCAGGGTATGGTCTATCTTGGAGAATGCTCCATGGGTACTTGAAAAGAATGTATGTTCTGCTGTTGTTGGATGAAGTGTTCTACACACGTCAATAACATCCTATTGGTTGATGGCGGTCATTCTTTTTTGTTGCTGATTTTCTGTGTACTTATTCTTTCAATTACTAAGTGAAAGGAATGTTGACTTCCCCAACTACAACTGTGGAGTTGTTCATTTCTCCTTTCACTTATGTCAGTTTTTGCTTCAAGTATTTTGAAACTCTGTTGTTGGGTGCATAAACATTTAGGATTGCTATATTTTCTTGGTGGCTTGACCTTTTCATCATTATGTAATGTCCCTCCCTCTTTGTCCCTGGTAATATTCTTTGCTCTGAAATCTGCTTTATCCTATACTCATACAGTCATTCTGCTTTCTTCTGATTGTTTGTGTGACACATCTTTTTCCATCCTTTTACATTTAACCTACATACATCATCGACTTGAAGTGAGTTTCTTATACAGGCATATTTTTTAATCCACTCTGTCAATCCCTCTGCCTTTTTAACTGTCTTTAGACCACTTACATTTAATACATTTACATGTAATGTAATTATGATTTTTAAGTTAGTCTCTGTTTCATTCTTCCTGTCTTCCTGTGGGTCATTTAAACATTTTTTAGAATTCTGTTGTGATTTAACTGTGGTATTTTTGAAAGTATCTCTTTGCACAGGCCCTTCAGTGATGTTCCCGGTCTTACATTATACGTTATGTTAAGTTATCACAACCTACTGTTATCAACATGTTACCACTTCGAGTGAAATGTACCACTCGCACCTGCTTTTAGGTCCCTATAACCTTCCCCCTTCCCCTTTTATAATCATCTTAAATATTTCCTCTATGTACACAGAGAACCACATCAGGACAGCAAGGATTCTGAAGAACTGGCAGAAGTCTAGTTGCTTGGTTCTGAATGAATATCCTCAGGAGGCCTGCTTGCAATTCCTGGGAACTCAGCCCTTGAAATGTTGCTTATGTTGCCGATTGATACAGTTGTTTTCTACACTTGGGACACTTAACCATGCTGTACGAGCTTGTCTAGGTTGTTTGTACAAATAGTGATTTATGGCAAGCCCCTCCTTTCCTTCTGGGGATTCTGAGGTTGCAGTAACTTGGGCCAGTCATACAGGTGGCTGTGTCTATGCCCCTAGCCCTGGACCTGGGTGTTCCTGTGAGCTTCTCTTTCCTGGGCAGGATCACCCTGTACGTCCCATCGGCCCCCATGAGGGACTACTGGAAGCCCGCACCTGCTTCCATAACCACCAGATGCATCTTTCCCCCTTGCTGATCCTGCTTTGTGTCCTTTAGGTGTAATAAACTGCAGCTGTGAATGACTCCTTCTGCCAAATGCCTGTCTCACATTCATCCCTACAACCCTATCAGACTTGAAAAGACCATACCTTGATTGTGGGCTCAGACACAACCTGCCCCCTGCCATCCCTCCTCAAAGCACCAACTGTGCTTTATTATTATTTTTTAATCCAGAGAAGGAAGGGCTTATTACTTGCAGCAAGAGAACACTTGCTTTTCCAAAGCAGTGTCCCTAAACTGTGCTGTAAATGCTGGGATTCTGGGACTTCACTGGTGGCACAGTGGTTAAGAATCTGCCTGCCCATGGGTTTGATCCCTGCTCTGGGAAGATCCCACATGCTGCGAAGCAACTAAGCCCATGCACCACAACTACTGAACCTGCAGTCTAAAGCCCGCGGGCCACAGCTACTGAAGCCCACGTGCCTAGAGCCCATGCTCTGCAACAAGAGAAGCCACCGCAATGAGAAGCTCACGCACCACAACAAAGAGTAGCCCCCGCTCACTGTAACTAGAGAAAGCCCGCACGCAGCAACAAAGACCCAACACAGCCAAAAAAAAAAAAAAAAAAAAAAAAAAGATGCTGGGATTCTGGGTGAGGTTTTTGCTTGATAATAAGTTCTAATGCTTGAAAAACATGAAAATCATTAGTGAAATTAAATGGCCTCATGTTACAAGTGGGAAAATTCACTCCCAAAGCCACCCTCACTTGCTCGGGGCCTGGGGCTCAATGACACCTAGTCCCCGGCCCCCCCGATGAGGGTCTGGCTTCCTGGAGACCTCACTCACCCCAAAGATGGCACATCCCAGGGACAACACAACCGGAGCAATGTACCTACTCAGAGGAAGGGGAGGAGGAACTACCTCTGGAGAGGGCAAAATTACAAATCCTACACTAAAACACGCAGACTCAGAGCAGGGGAGCCTCACAGCTCAGTTCAAGAAACACTGCTGACCACGCCTGATGCAGAGACTGGGGCCTCGCCCGGAAACCAGTGGATGAGGGCTCCAGACTCACTAGTCACGTGCCCTGGGTTCTCTAATGCTCTCAATACTGTGCGTCTTCAACTGTGAAGTAGGGACACTCTTACTTATCTTATAGGAAAGAGAACATCAGTGATGTACTCAAGAGAGTGTTCACTCGGAATGGTGATACTACCAGGAACCAAAAAGGTAACGCCATAAATGGGCACTCATCTAAGTCGATTTTATTACCATAAGACACTAGCCCTCACTCATCACTCCTAACAAAAGAACGGATTGGATTTTTGAATTGGATTCCTGTGTATTCCATAATCTCATAGGTACGAACACCCTAACTGCACAGCAGCACACTGAAGTGCAGCTGACACGTCTGAATGCTCACAAGGAACATGGTGGCTCAACTCTGACAGCATGATGTTCTGGCATTCTGCCTTTCTTTCTTTTTTTTTTTTTTTTTTTGGTACGCGGGCCTTTAACTGTTGAGGCCTCTCCCGTTGCGGAGCACAGGCTCCGGACGCGCAGGCTCAGCGGCCATGGCTCACGGGCCCAGGTGCTCCGCGGCATGTGGGATCTTCCCGGACCGGGGCATGAACCCGTGTCCCCTGCATCGGCAGGCGGACTCTCAACCACTGCGCCACCAGGGAAGCCCCCTCACGCAAACTTTTGTTAGACTTCTGTTAGGAGTCCAAATGATCTAACAAAAAAATACTGGTTTAGGTTTTAAGAATAAAAATGACATGAACAATTTCTCAAAGAGGCTGAAATCCATAAGTTTAAGTTCAGTCACAGCTGGTCGCTTTAAAAAGAACAATCTAATCTTTTTTTTCCGAGATGGGCACCTACTTTGCAGATGCACCTGCCTCCTTTTTAGCACAGAATGCTTGTCTTTTGTGTGTGTGTGTGTGTGGTACGCGGACCTCTCACTATTGTGGCCTCTCCCGTTGCGGAGCACAGGCTCTGGACGCACAGGCTCAGCAGCCATGGCTCATGGGCCCAGCCTCTCCGCGGCATATGGGATCCTCCTGGACCGGGGCACGAACCCGTGTCCCCTGCATCAGCAGGCGGACTCTCAACCACTGCGCCACCAGGGAAGCGCCCGCTTGTCTTTTTCTTATTAAATTGTAAGAGTACTTTAGATACTGACAACACTAACTTTTAGCAATGCCCTTGCTGCTGCACATCCAGCCATGTCAGCCGGGAAACCTGCATCATCTCATGGGATGGTGGGTGTCCTGTGGTTCCTGGATGTCAGCTGTTTTCCGCATGCCCCTTCCCACCTCAGCTCCTCCCTTTAAGGTGTCACAGCTGGACAGGCCACCCTGCCCCTCCATCACAGATGTGTCCCCCACCCACAAGCCTCTTCCACAAACTTTTCTGGCTTGATATTTTTACACCTTTAAATCTTCCAACAGTCTCACAGCGGACACCCACCACATGGCCAGAAGCTGTCCCAGCACTACATTACTTTTCAGAAGGGTGCTAACTGAAGGAAACAATAACATTTTACATGTGGCATGATACATTCAAATTATTGAAACTAGACTGATTCAAATTAAACTTCAAAATACACTTCGCCATGAACTTAAATATCGTAATACAAACACAAAAGAACCTACCTTTGATCCATGCAAATACTGGGGTTGTGCATTTGGCTGTTTATCTCTTTGAAATTCTTGAGAAAATGGTAATACTGTCCGAACAAATCTAAACAAGAAAGATTTAAAAAAAAGAAAGAAAACCAAAAATTTAATGGTAGTTCTTTAAAATTCAGAACGTTTCCATTACTCATCAATTAAATCTTCCTCCCAATTAATCATCACATAGGAAAATTCTGGGAAATCAAAACCGACACTAGGAATGAGCTATAAATACTCTGAAGTATGACAAATGTATCTGAAGTTCAGGAACAGAGTGAGGACACCGGAGGCCCTTCTAGCACATAAAAAGAGTCTCCATACTTGGCATCAGGACCATTTCATTCAGTCTTTTGAAAAGAGGTGATGCAGGCACTTGGGCCTTGCTGGGCCTCTGGACACAGCAATGATGGCAGGGACAGGAGTGGGAAGGCAGATTCGGACAGTGATGCGGTCACTCAGGTCACTGGGTACAAACTGACAGAAGATGAGTCTGTAAACACACTTGCAGAGCCAAGAGGCTGGTGGCTTCATAACAGATTAGGAGCCACTAAAACTCAAATGCTTGGATCTTAAAGCAGAAATGTCAAAATCGACTCACACTTTCAAATCAGAAGCGTTCATTTAAACATATAAAACTTTCTACAAAGAAGCATGATAAAATTCATGGATCTGCTAATTATTAGATTCAAAAAACTTGATTAATGCATATTGCACTTTAATAAATAAAAAAGGATGTAACTGTCAAAACACCACTTGTGCATGAAACAAACGTTTGCATCTGAGGAGAGGACAGCGGCCTGTGGAGCTGATCACATTTACATGGAAACATCACGTTGCTGAGTGGCTGGGTTCTGTCGTTATCCTTTTTTTTTTTTTTTTTTTTTTTTTTTTTTGCAGTATGCGGGCCTCTCACTGTTGTGGCCTCTCCCATTGCGGAGCACAGGCTCCAGACGCGCAGGCTCAGTGGCCATGGCTCACGGGCCCAGCCGCTCTGCGGCATGTGGGATCCTCCCGGACCGGGGCACAAACCCGTGTGCCCTGCATCGGCAGGCGGACTCTCAACCACTGCGCCACCAGGGAAGCCCCAAGGAACCGTTTTTAAAGTCTCAGATTATCTCCCTATATATTACTTATAAATTTCAAACAGAAAAATGGAAACACACCAGTGGAGAGACTTGGCAGCCACCACCCTAACCAAGGGACGGATGGCCAGTGATGGGGCAACCTTGTGGTACATTGCACTGCGGACATACCCTCCTCAGTGGTCTTCCTGCCAAAGAGGCCCGACTCTGATCCCAACTGCTGGCTTACTTCGAGGGCTATCGCGCTGTCACAATTAGCAGCTGTACAGGTTAAATTTAAGTCACAGGCCACCCCATGTGACCTCCCAGAGTCGCATAAGTCATTAATCGGAAATAAGCAGCAAAATAAGTAGATACGCCAAGCAACAAATGGAGTTCTGGTTTCCCCGCAAGCAGCTTTCAGAAAACCCTTGGGCATGGAATTAAGATACTGGGTGGTATAATTTTGTCTGTCTTCTCAGGTTTCCACATGCAACATGGACATATGAAACACTATTTTAAAATGTCTTTTCCAGATAATGAAGCTCTAAGGGTTCCACTGAAAGACCTGTTAAAAACACAGAAGTAATGGCTTTTGCCAATGCTAGAAAGAGGTGGAGGCCTCCAGCGCTGCTGCTCTGGTGAAGACTGCATCTCGTGCAGCCAGGGCTCCCTCTGAATTGCACCTCAGGTTTCTGGGCCCAAGGAGACTGAGGTCACTTCACGCTGGCCCCTGTCAGCACACGTGCCCAAGGTCACAGCTCCAATGCATGGGAAACTGGGTTCCCGTGCAATCAATCTCACAGCCCGTTGGAGGCAAAGCTGCCTACCAGCGCCATGCGGGCAGCGGGGAGCATGCACTATCAGCCGAGGGCAGCCATCTGCTTGCTGCTGTTCAGGGTGGACCTCATGCTGGACGGGCTAAGGGGACCCAGGGCAGAGGTGCCTGTCGTCAGTTTATACACCTGATGCCATAGTGTCTGTCAGGCCATGCAAGTGACACGGCCTAGAGGTGTTCCACTCCTGCTAAGGTTGCTGGGCCACATGGCACCAACTTCCTGACCTGAGTCCTGGCAACCTCGTCTCTGACAACAAGACTCCTGCTGCCAGTAGGACAGGTAGCCTAGGATGGCAGGTTGTTCCCTAGCATCGGCCCCGATCAGGGAGGGGCACCCACGTGGGCCCAGCTTGGCAGGCAGGGCCTCGAAATAGACCTCTCTCCCTAACTGCACACTCATGACTCATCATGCCTGGAGCATTTTTCAGAAAACAGTGATTCAAAAGAAAGGTTTACAGCACGTGCTGAGTTTTCATCACCGTGCTGAGTTTTCATCACCGTGTAGATTTCAGCCCCCTCCCACCCCCCTTGCAGTCCTTCCACACGGCTCCTGTTGTTTTTGAGCCCTCGACCCACCGGGCTGTCACCAAGATGACCAGAACAGGCAGATGCTGTACACACGCAGTGCAGCTGGCACAAAGGGGGCCCAGGCTTCAACTGTTCCTTCTGCATGATCTCTGGGAATCCCTTAAAGGGCAACAAAATGCTAGATAATCAAAAATGCAACCTAAAATAACACAAGAAAATCACAACTCCTCATAAGGAGTTGATCCCTGGACCAGGAAGATCCCACATGCTGCAGAGCAACTAAAGCCGTGCGCCACAACTACTGAAGCCTGCGTGCCTAGGGCCTGTGCTCTGCAACACGAGAAGCCACCACAACTACAGAAAGCCCGTGCACAGCAACAAAGACCCAACACGGCCAAAAATAAAAAATAAATTTATAAAAAATAAATAAAAATTAAAAAATAAAAAGTGCTCATAACGCTCACATACACACGGTCTCTCACACACACCCTCACTCATACTCACCCCCATTTCTCGCACACACACACGTTTCCTCTCTGGCATGTGCTGACACAGCAGGAGTGAAGCTCAGCACAGAGAGGACAGGCCTCAGGCAGGCAGTTGCCAGAGTGTGGAGGTGACACAGAGCCATCCCAGGACCTTGGCTGTACCACAAGACTGGACCACATAACCCTGAAGCCAGCAGCCATGCCACCCTTCCAGCGGGCCACTTTGTCTTGTTCAACGTAGTAAAATGGTAGGTGCGTGGAGGGCGGCTAACTGGCAGACCCTCACATGGCCCGAAATCCCAGAATGGAAGCATGAAAAGTAGAGTCACCCAGCACATTCCAACTTCAGTAGACATTAAAAGTATGGAGGTGGTACAGACCCAGCAGCTGCCGTCCACATGCACCACAGATTTGGCCCTGAGCCCCAAGGGAGTGCCCTGGATAGGAACCCTGGCCCCGTACCCGGTCTGCACATGAAAGCCATGACCACACACCCAAGGGCTGGCCCAGGGCTGCACTTGCAAATGGAGGAGACCAGGAGGGCCTGAGTATCCTGGACACGGGAAAAGATGGGCCCTGAGACCATCCTATTTCGATGCCCATTGGAAGGGGCATCCAGAGCCATCTGTGAGGTAACATGCTCACCGGTTGGTGGAGCCATTGTAGCAGTAGTTGGGCAGGAAGTCGTAGTTGAGCTCCCAGAAGACGTGGAGGGTGATTCTCCCGTAGGGCGCTGACACATTGTGGTTGGCCTCCCGGAACATGGCATCAAAGCTGTCCAGAGTCAGGTACCTGCTCAGCAGCCTGTGGGTCATACGGTTGATTTCCAAGAGGCCATCCAGCTCCTGTAGGACCACAAAGACAGGGGCGTGAGGACAGAGCTGGGCCTGGCGTGGCGGCCTCCATCCTCTACGTGGGTAGCGCCATGGTGGTGGGCCGGGAGCGGGCAGAGCAGGACGTGGACAGCGAGGGGCTGCACTGAGGGGGGGCCAGTGAGCTAGGCCAAGAATGCACATGGTGGCAGTCCGGCAGGTGACACAAGCTTACTTCTCACACCTAAATTCGTGTCCTCTCCACTGCTCTTAAAATGCCCCTCCTTTCCATGGTTGCCCCCGAATGGCCACTGTCCATTCTCCACTGCAGTTACCTCCCACTGTCCACTGCTGGCCTCCAAACCACTCACAGGGCAGAGAACACTGGGATGTGTCCACCCCCACCCGACAGCACACCATATGTCCTCAGGTGTTAGCCTTAATCAGCTTTCCTAACGCACCTGAAGTTACTCAAAAGCATTGCTGTTCAGCAGAGCTGGCAAGCATGTTCAGAGGTGGCCTTCCAGGCTCTCACACTGACTGTTCATAAACCTGCCCAGGTCTGTACTATCCCCTGAGGCAGCCACTGGCCACATATGGCAACAAGAACATGGCTGGTCCAAACTGAGATGTGCCATACGTGTGAGATGCACAGATTTCAGAAACTGAACATGAAAACAAAGAATGTAAGATATCCATGTCAACAGAGTTCTTATAATGATTATATGTTGAACTGTTAATTTTTGGATATATTGGGTAAATAAAATAGATTACTAAAATTAATTCCTCCAATTTCTTTCTCCTTTTCTAATGTGACTACGAGTAAATTTAAAATGGTCTCTGGGCAGAAGCAAGAAGAACTACAATACTGCAGCCTGTTGAACAAAAACCACACTCACAGAAAGACAGACAAAATGAAAAGGCAGAGGACTATGTACCAGATGAAGGAACAAGATAAAACCCCAGAAAAACAACTAAATGAAGTGGAGATAGGCAACCTTCCAGAAAAAGAATTCAGAATAATGATAGTGAAGATGATCCAGGACCTCGGAAAAAGAATGGAGGCAAAGATTGAGAAGATGCAAGAAATGTTTAACAAAGACCTAGAAGAATTAAAGAACAAACAAACAGAGATGAACAATACAACAACTGAAATGAAAACTACACTAGAAGGAATCAATAGCAGAATAACTGAGGCAGAAGAATGGATAAGTGACCTGGAAGACAGAATGGTGGAATTCACTGCCGTGGAACAGAATAAAGAAAAAAGAATGAAAAGAAATGAAGACAGACTAAGAGACCTCTGGGACAACATTAAACACAACAACATTCACATTATAGGGGTCCCAGAAGGAGAAGAGAGAGAGAAAGGACCCGAAAAAATATTTGAAGAGATTATAGCCGAAAAATTCCCTAACGTGGGAAAGGAAATAGCTATCCAAGTCCAAGAAGCGCAGAGAGTCCCAGCCAGGATTATCACAAAGAAAAACATGCCGAGACACACAGTAATCAAATTGACAAAAATTAAAGACAAAGAAAAAGTATTAAAAGCAACAAGGGAAAAACGACAAATAGCATACAAGGGAACTACCATAAGGTTAACAGCTGATTTCTCAGCAGAAACTCTACAAGCCAGAAGGGCTTGATAAAAGGGAAGAACCTACAACCAAGATTACTCTACCCAGCAAGGACCTTATTCAGATTTGACAGAGAAATCAAAAGCTTTACAGAAAAGCAAAAGCTAACAGAACTCAGTACCATGAAGCCAGCTCTACAACAAATGCTAAAGGAACTTCTCTAAGTGGTAAATGCAAGAGAAGAAAAGAACCTACAAAAACAAACCCAAAACAATTAAAGAAATTGGTAATAGGAACATACATACTGAAAATTACCTTAAATGTGAATGGATTAAATGCTCCAAGCAAAAGACACAGGCTCGCTGAATGGATTTAAAAACAAGACCCATATATATGCTGTCTACAAGAGACCCACTTCAGACCTAGGACACATACAGACTGAAAGTGAGGGGATGGAAAAAGATATTCCATGCAAATGGAAACCAAAAGAAAGCTGGAGTAGCAATACTCAAATCAGATAAAATACTTTAAAATAAAGAATGTTAAAGAGACAAGGAAGGACATTACATAATGATCAAGGGATCAATCCAAGAAGAAGATATAACAATTATAAATATTTATGCACCCAACAGAGGAGCACCTCAATACATAAGGCAAATGCTAACAGCTACAGAAGAGGAAATCGACAGTAACACAATAATAGTGGAGTACTTTAACACCTCACTTACACCAATGGACAGATCATCCAGACATAAAGTTAATAAGGAAACATAAGCTTTAAATGACACAACAGACCAGAGAGATTTAATTGATATTTATAAGACATTCCATCCAAAAACAGCAGATTACACTTTCTTCTCAAGTGCACATGGAACATTCTCCAGGACAGATCACATCTTGGGTCACAAATCAAGCCTCAGTAAATTTAAGAAAATTGAAATCATATCAAGCCTCTTTTCTGACCACAACACTATGAGATTAGAAATCAGTTACACGGAAGAAAACATAAAAAACACAAACACATGGAGGCTAAACAATACATTACTAAATAACCAAGAAGAAGTCAAAGAGGAAATCAAAAAATACCTAGGGACAAATGACAACAAAAACACGACAATCCAAAACCTATGGGATGCAGCAAAAGCAATTCTAAGAGGGAAGTTTGTAGCAATACAACCCTACCTCAAGAAACAAGAAAAATCTCAAATAAACAATCTAACCTCACACCTAAAGGAACTAGAGAAAGAACAAACAAAACCCAAAGTTAGTAGAAGGAAAGAAATCATAAAGATCAGAGCAGAAATAAATGAAATAGAAACAAAGAAAACAATAGCAAAGATCAATAAAACTAAAAGCTGGGGAAAAGAAAAAAAGGTCTCTGGCTTACATTCTATTTATAGTGGTCAAAACCTCAACCGAATCACATTAAGACCAAGGGCAATGAAACACCGTGGCCCAGCCCAAGCCAGGCTGAAGGAAGAGCCACTGTGGGCTCTGTGGCCACAGACAGCCTGGATTCTGAAGAAGGAGAGGTGGGCCCAGCAGACACCTGCCCCCCACCTGCTTCTCTAGGAAAAAACAGTCTTCCTGGAGCTCTCACAAGCTCATTACCATTTGCCTGCAGCCATTATTCTTGGAAGATAGATTTGGCACAAAATCCTTAAGTTGCATTTCCTTCCCTGCTGGCAAAGGTCTGAGGACAATTGGATTTTCTTTCCCTGATCGCTCTGCTGAGATACCCAGAGGGTTTTTCCTTTTCCTTGAAAGTCCAATACTACAATGTTAACTACAGTGTTCTTTGGTGTTGGCCACTTTAGGTCCATTTTCCCATGTATGCAATATTTGCTTCTCATATGTATTTATACTGTTTTTTATTTTATCAAAGTTTTCTTCAAGTGGCATTTTTTAATGTTTGTTCCATCTCATTGCTTTGGTTTTTGTCTTCAGGGGCCTCTATGATATGTATGTTGAATCTTCACCGTCCATCATCTCCATGATCTTCTCTCAAATCCTTTCTGTCTGTCTTCATTTCTTTTTAAGTTTTAAAACGTTCCTCCTTTCATTCTTTTGCCATATCTTTTGCCATAGTGAGGTGTAACTATTTGTTCTTTGAAGTTAATTTAGAACTGTGCATATGAAGAGCAGCTGCCCAGGCAGGCCCAGCTCAGTGAGTGCACACCTTTTGAGTTCTATGCAAAAAATGAACCTACCATCAGGTCAATTTATCAATAATGACAAAAGCAGAAGGAGCTCCAACCCCCCAGATCTGCTGAGCCTGAGAAAAAGGAGAGCACTTACAACTATTGATGTCAGGTCTTCACTCTCAAATCGCCCAATTGCCAGTTCCAGGGATTTGTACATGGCGGTGGAGACGCGCTGAGTAATCAGACGATTGAGGTCTATGGACCTGCCCAGGAGCTGGGCACAGAGTGGAAAGCATGAACAACAAAAAACAAATAAGCAAGAGAATATGGATCTATCCCAGGAAACTGATTCCAAAAGATAAGACAGACAAATAATGTACAAAATTCAGATGACAGTATGATCAAATACCCTACTTTCCTAGAGCTGAAATTCTGTAAGTCACAGCTGTAAAAGGACTTTTATAGTGTACTTACACTTACATCACAGACAGAAACCCCAAGCCTCCCCAGAGATCCTGGAGAGCCTGGGTCTGGCACTTAGCGTACCCCTTGTAATGGGTTCAGGGCCACCTCCCGGCACAGAGCAGCCTGCGTGTGCCTTACCCTCACCATGTCACAAGGATGAGTAAGAGAAAACTACTCCATCTCTACTGCAGAGTCCTAACGACATGTGCATACCTCAGTAGCATTTCAGTAACATAAAAATACGGGCAAAAAAAAAAAACCAAAAACAGGCAAAACCCTGGTGAAAATGTCCCAAAATGTGAATGGTGGTTATTTGTAGATAGAATTACATGAGATTTCC